AAATGGTTCCCGCTGGTGTCGGGATGGCCCAGGCGAGGCCCGCGGGAGGAAGGAGCCCTCCCCGACTCTGTCCAGTCCTCCTGCTACTCGAGGGCACCTGTTTGTTTTCTTCCTGGCGGCTACAGGCCAGGCCAGCAAGGGGCCCACAACCTACCCTGCTCTCAGCACCAGAGAACCCGGGGTGGAAGTAGTGGGGAGTCTGTGGATGCACCCCGGTTCACCAGCCACGGCCTGTCAGTACCGGTTCCTTAAGCCTCCTCATCTCCTGCCTCCAGTTTCCAAGAAAGTCTGCTCCGCTCACTCACACACACTCACACGACCCAAATCCTCCACCACAAGCTTGTTCAGGAACGAGTGTTTGCAATTCCACAGATCTGGTCAAGGGAAATCAGCCTGCTGGCGGCGGCGCACGTCCCACCTGCCCGTCCTCACACCCAGCCGTCTGGGGTTTGGCTGGTGAGTCTCTCGGGGTGAAGAGGGCACAGCCTGCGGGCCCCTCGGCCGCCAGGGAGGCCAGAGCACAGCCAGGAAGTGATGCCGGCGCACTCCGACCCTTCTTTTCCCTCTGAGTTCCATCAACCACATGCTCCACTTCACAGTAGTAATTGGCGTCCAGCCTCAGACTCTCCCACCCATTGGCCTGCTCACCCCTTCCCTTGGAAACAGCCAACACATCACAAAGAGGCAGTAAGCGCAGAGACACGGGTGCAAACACCCAGATGGGCCAGCAGGAGCCCACCGAACAGAAGCAAATGGACCTGGGCATCCTGAGGCGCCAATTCCCCAGCTCGCCTTGCCTGCCCCTCAGCGCTGCCCCTCAGCGCTGCCCCTCAGCGCCTCCCCTCAGCGCTGCCCCTCAGCTCTTCCCCTCAGCGCTCGAGGGTGCTTCTTCAGCGACGGATGGAGCCAGAACAGAGATGCGCTGGGGTAGCTGCCGTCTAAATGGGGGCTAGGTTGGCATCGGTCTACTTGAGGGCTTGGCCCTAGGGACGGGCAGCCTTTCCACATCGTCCTGGCCGGGTGCCTCGGAGCTGGGGGGGACGGTGTTTTCGGGCAAGAGCGGGTCAGCGCACGCGGGGCCTGGCCTCTCCCACCGGGGACTTTCTTGCAGGGCTTCTGCTCCCAGCTCTGGGACTGGAAGAGGAAGGCAGTGGGGGCGAGGGGAGGGTGGGCGTTGGCTGAGCGTCTGAGGGGCTGGATGCCGCCCGGCATCTCCCCGCTCCTCCCTGAAGCCCGCCATCTCCACCTTCCCTTCATGGGGCGGGGGTGGGGTGGGTTCTGGTTTGGAGGGCAGCCTGTGGGCGCCTCAAGCTGATCTAAAAATCCTATTGCATGGGGCGCAGGGCACGGAGGGGGTGGTCAGAGCCTGGAGGGTAGCTTGGGGCCCTGCTCTGCCCTGAGGTGGCCAATGTGTTCAGGGGGACCTTGGCCTCGGCCCACAATGCCCGAGGAGCCGCGAGACTCGAGACTCCGTCAGGCCTTCTCTGGCCTCCTTCCTACCTTCTCTCCCCCTCGTGCGGCTCACTCGTTTGTGCCTGGAAGTTCTCGCCGGGACCTGGCTCGCTGTGATCTACCGGCGCCAAAGCGGGGGACGTTGAAGACGTGAACAATGTGGGTTGTAAGTGGGAGGAGGGTGGTGAGACTGACATTTCCTGGGGGAAGGAACCACCCCCCCTGGCACCCCGACATCTGCTCAGTCCCACCGGCATCAAGGAGACGACCGTCTCTGCACTGGAGGGTACAGCCGCGCTCCTGGGGTGCAGATGGGAGAGGGGAGGACATGTGGGGGGCAGCGGCGGGGGCAGCGCTGGGTAGAGGACGCCAGGTAGGGATGAGGTGCCGGGCGGGCCGACCTTCAGCCCACGTGATGCCCCTTCCCACCTCTCCCCAGGCCACTGAGAATCTAGAAAAATACCACACGGAGGGTGACCATGGGGCTGAGAGCCCCGTCTGGCCCGAGGAGAGAGAAGAGCCTGGAGTCTTCTTCAAACTTCTGTTCTCTGGCGGCGCTTTCCTGACAGCTCTCGGCGGAACAGGGGTGACAGAAACAACTTGCCTAATTCCTCAGTCTTTCCTTTTGCCTTGTTGTTTGACAACACTGGACATCTGTGTGCCCCTCCCGTCCACTCAGATACTCACAGCTATAATAAAATAAGTTTAAATATTAAAGAGAAAAACACAAAGATACTTGGAATAAATGTGCACTTAAAACCCCAACTAAAATATCAACACGCTGATAGGATAATAATTACAATGGTAATAATCAAAATAATTAGTACAGTAATATTAACTTTATGAGCAGCATGGAACTTTCATTCCTGATGTGGAAGAAAAGGAAAGACAGTATCACGTCACAGAGTAAGAGACCTCTGACTTAGCAGACGAAAGAATTTTCTTTAAAAGTGGAAGGCTCGGTTGTCTTTTCCCCTACAAGGTCAGTTCTAGAAAGGGCTGGAAGCGGACTCCGCAAGGGTGCTGCCCAGTAAGGCAAACGGAGGCTCACCTGCAGCCACGACGTCCGCGGCCCTCTGGCTTCCACAGTCCCTGCGGGGGGGGGGGGGGCTGGCGGGCTTTGGGGGCTCCGGCGCGGACATCTTCCAAAAGCTTCCGTCTCCCCTCCCCTCTGGGTTGGCCGTTTCCTGCCATCTCGGAATGGGAAGGACGACTCCAGTGGCCTGCTGCCAACTCCTCACCTGCTGCCAATGCCTCACCTGCCAGCTGCGGGGGCCCTGGGGGTTGCTGAGGGTGCCCGGCCTTGAGCAGGCCACAGTGTCCTTCCTTCCTGTCCAAGGCCTGGACTAAGCTGGTCTAGTTTGGGGACCTAGTTCTTTGCAAGATTAGCATCATTGATACTTGGGGAGGGGAAGTTTCCAGAGTGATTTCACATTTCACAGCTAAGAGCTAAGGTAACGGCTCCATTACTCAATTAGGTCGGATGTCAGTTAAAACACCTTTCACAGTAGATGGCTGAGGGAGACCGCAGAGTAGGGGGGTGGGGTGGGGGACGGGCTGCCAGGACAGGGAGCCATCGCTGCACTTGGACGCCTGGCTCTGGAGTCAGTGGACTCGGTGTTGAGAATCAAACAGTCAGGACCACCCTTCAGAACCCTAACTTGACCCACAGCGTCTCCCCACATTCACGCATTTAGGAGTAATTTGCATGAATGAAGAGACCCCCCCCCCCACCCCACCATCCACAGCAGTGATCAAAGCCTGAGGAAGCGTCCAGAACCACATCAAAGGTGCAAAGAGGGCAAAGGGCACATTTCTTTGGAAACATAACTGTCTGTGGGAGTGTTTTCCAAAGTGCTGTGTGAGACCTGCTGGCCACCCTCAGCGGCCCTCCCTCCACCTTCTGCCCAGCAGACCTCTCGAAAACAGAAACCAAAGTCCCGTCTGGGGAGGTCAGGTAATGTGAGGGAAGGACCAGCAGCAAACAAAGGTTGGTGGTTGTCTACAGAGGAGGGACTGGGCAAAATCTCGAGAACCTAACACAGCTGGACACCAGAGGAGAGGGGCCGCCTGGGAGTGCCAGGCTGGGGAAGGCCCAGCACGGCTGGGGTGCCTCTGTGATAGGCGCCCGGCCCCTCCACTTTGTCCCTTCCGTCGTGGAAAGGGGGCGGCCATCTCTCCCACGGATGGCACAGCCGGGGGCAGTGGGGTGAGGGTGAAGGGGGAGTCTGTCTTGCGCTCTGTCCCCCCAAGCAAAACCATCACCTGCCCGCTGTCCAGCGCCCACATCTCTCCAGACCCACGGCTCCCCAGGCCCTGCCAGCTCCCTGGCACCTCTGCTAGCCAAGGGCCCAAGAAAGACAACAGGTATTAAAATGTAATAAAATAAAACTAGAAAGAGCAGAGTAAAATGTTACAACAGCACAGAAGAAGAGCCGAGGCGTGGGCCTGGCCTCGGTCGGCTTCTCGGAGTACCGTGGAAGTGAACCCTCACCCCGCGTCTGTCGCTCGTAAGGCACTAGGAGGGAATGATGTAAAACCAAGACCGCGAGAGCCGGGCGGGGCGGGGCGGGAGGGAGGGTGCACCGGCACGCACGCCCTCGCTCCGCGCACGCCTGGACCACCACATTGGTTACATGCCTGTGTTCTATCGCTTATTTTTTTTTTTTTGTGCAATTACATTGAGGAATATTCTATTGGTATCATTGGGGTCCAACAAAAGTAGAAAAGGAGGGTGCAGAGTGCTACATTCTACGGGGGGTCGGTGACGACCACTAGCCCTACCTACGTGACGAGGGGTTGATTCAAAGAGAAAAGAAATCTTCAGGAGAGGAAAAAAACCCAAGTTTGCCACACACACCATTAATGACATTTGAGGAATAACATTGCTTAGGGATTTATCCAGAGCGCTCCCAAAGAGACCAAGTGCCCCCTCCTGGGGCGGGGTGAGGGGTTTCCTCTCCGGGGGGGTGGGGGGGTCTTCCTTCAGCCTGGCCGTCCCCCGTCAGTCCTGACACATGAGCCAGAACTGGACTTTGCCAACCCCAGACCAAGCCGCCAACGTCAGCCTCCCAGAGGGCTGCTGACCTCTTAGAGTTCTGGAGAAATCCCTAATTCTCATGTTTGATAATTAAAAATCTATTGGATTTCCATTTCAGCTATCCCTGACAGCAAATTCTTAAGTGTTACTTGCTGCCATATGAAAATAATCTTTGTAAAGTTCATAGATAAAGTTCTTCGAAAACTGGGGCCCCCACTTCTGGAATCTTCCTGCTGCTCTCCGCGTCTCCTTTCCAGTTTGGTGCAGAATGGGTTCGTGAGCTGTGGTGGTTTTTTTTGTGTTTTTTTTTTGTTTTTTTTTTTTTTTGTTACTGACATTTTCTTTTTTTTTCTTTTTCAAAATAAAAAGCATAGATTCCCCTCCTTCTTAATCCCTTCCTTTGGGAAATGTCCTCTTCTCTGCTCTAAGTCCTCTCACTTCCTAGTTCAAGTTTCACTGGTGTCCCGACCCCTGGCCCCCTCCCCTGCCCCTGCCCCGTTTGCATTGTTTGTGTGCGGCGTCTTCAGTATAAAAAGCCCAGCTCCCACCTCGTCCCTCCTCCCTCCTGCCCGCGGCCTCCCCACTCCCCCCTCCAGTGTTTATATGTAAGGGTACTGGTTGACCTTGGCGGGGCTCAGTGGGTATCCAGTGTAGACGGTGGAGGCCGGAGAGGCGCTGATGTAGGTCTGGTGGGCAAACTGGGCCGGATACTGACTCGGGTGGATGGTGGGCGAGGGCAGGACGCGGGGCCCCATGCTCACGGGCACCTGGTGGACGATGCTGGCCGGGTAGGCAGTGTGCTGCATGGTGTGGCGCGCCGAGCCTTGGGAGGCCACCAGGTGGGCCACGGTGCCGGTGGAGCCTAGGGCCGCGGGCGCCGTGTAGGTATAGAGGTGGGGCTGGGTGGGGAGGTGGGCGGCGGCGGCCGCAGCGGCCAGATGGGGGTGCACGGTGCCGTGGCTGGGGCTGTTGTGCGGGAAGGAGTACGGAGCCTGAGCCATTGTGGGGGTGATGTAGGCCTGCTGCCGGCGGTGGCTCCCGGCGCGGTCGGTGGTGATGTGCTGCTGGGCCTGGAAGAGGCAGAGGACAGGAGGGAGGAGTGAGGAGTGGGGAGGAGGGAGGAGTGGGGAGTGGGGAGTGAGGAGGAATAGGGAGGGGGAGAAGGGAAGAGTGGGAGGAGGAGGAGGGAGGGAATAGGGAGGAGGGAGCAGTGGGGAAGGAGGAGGAGGGAAGGAGGGAGAAGTGGGGAGGACAGAGGAATGAGGAGGGGAGGAGTGGGCAAGGAGGAGGGAGGAGTTGGGAGTAGGGAGGAGTGGGGAGGAGTGGGGAGGAGGGAGGAGTGGGGAGGAGGGGAGGGGGAGGAGTGGGGAGGAGTGGGAGGAGGGAGGAGTGGGGAGGAGCGGGGAGGAGGGAGGAGCGGGGGAGGGAGGGGTGGGGAGGAGGAAGGAGCGGGGAGGAGGGAGGGGCGGGAGGAGGGAGGAGTGGGGAGGAGGGAGGAGCGGGGGGAGGGAGGAGTGGGGGGAGGGAGGGTGGGGAGGAGGAAGGAGCGGGGAGGAGGGAGGAATGGGGAAGAGAGGAGGGAGGAGGGAGGAGTAGGGAGGAGGGAGGAGTGGGAGTGGGGAGGAGGGAAGAGTGGGGGGAGGGAGGAGTGGGGGAGGGAGGGTGGGGGAGGGGGGTGGGGAGGAGGAGGAGTGGGGAGGATGGAAGGAGGAGTGGGAGGAGGGAGGAGTGGGAGGAGGGAAGAGAGAAGCGAGGATGAGGGAGGAGGGAGAGGACATGAGGAGACATGGGGCAGGGAGGAGAGAGAAGGGCGGAGGAGGGAGGAGGAAGAAGTGGCCGAGGAGCGGGAGTGACAGGAGTCGCCCTCCCGCCCTCCCGGCAGGCTGAGAAGGTGGCCTGGCCTTGGCCTGGCCGGGAAAGGAGGCCCCCCCCCCAGTGACAGGAGAGACTTGTCCGTCCTTCAGGGCCCAGCAGCTTTCTCCCTCACAACAACGCAGCTTTCTCTCTCGCTGCCAAGTCGGTTCTGTAACATCACGGGCGCCGGGCGCTGCTGCGTGCAGCGATGGGTCCCATGACCTCCCCTCCTGGAGAGCCCAGCCGACCCGCGGCCTCGGGGCTCCCGGACTGACGGGCCTCCCTTCCTCGCCCCAGGGAGGCAGGCCGCACCCCTCCGGCGCGGGCCTGCCTGGGGGACTCTGCTTCACGTGTTCTACCCCACGGCCCCCCACACCTCCAGGGCTGCGCCCGCTTCCCTGGCTTGGGGCCTGGGGCGAGGCCGCCTCGCTGTCCCGGCCAGAACTCTGGGTTAAAATACAAGACGTGGCGCCCATTAGCGCTTCCGAGGTCACCTGCCAGGGGCCGGCCCTCCGCGAGCCCAATACCAACCTGCCCAAGCAGGACCGGGACGAACACCGCGCAGGTCGGTCGCTCAGGGCACTTCCCGCCCCCCCAGGGGGCCCGGGCGCGCCGGCGGGGGCTCACCTGGCTGAGATTGAGAGGCTGCTGCTGCTGGAAGTGGGGGCCTGGCCGCTGCTGCCGGTAGGCGATGGCTCCCGACGAGCTCCCTGAAGAGTGACCGCTGGTGGAGGTCACGTTGCTGGAGGACTTGGACTTGTAGGAGGACGAGTGGTGGCCGGTGTTGACTGTGCGGGAGGAGGAACAGGCCCCAGGTCAGTCGCTGGCCCCTGCTGCCCAGAAGATGCTCCCCTCCAGGGGACACCAGTGGGCGCGCTGCAGAGACGGGCCTCGCCCGGCCCTGCTAAGTCCCGTCTGGACTCCGCACAGGCCTCGGGCCGGGCCTGTTCCACGGCTTGGGAGCAAACCCGCTGCACGGTGGAGCTGCTGTCTGGTGACCCGAGCAGCACAGCAGAGTCTGCCGCTCCGCAGCTCGCTCTTCTGGGTCCCCTCCAAGGAGACGGGGCCACCCCCCAGACCCAGCACACAGGGGAAACGCAGCAGGATACGTTTAACTGGGGGCAAAAGGCCCCATGTGTCCCGGGGGGAGCAAAATGCACACCTGGAATGCCGTGGCTCCCACATGGGTTACGCTGAACAAACCGTGCGGGGTGGGGGGCCGGGGGAGTGACGGGTGACGACCAGCTCCTGGCAGGGCCGGACTCGGGTGGCTGTGGGCCGCGGCGGGGCACCACCGAAGCCTCAGCCATCCAGGCGGTTTTCTCTTTTACTTCAGATAGAAAGGAGCACGGCGGGCTAGGTAGGCCCCGGAAGCCACCACAGCCACAAACAGCACGACGGGCTGATGATGCTGCTGGAGGACGTGACAGGAAAGGGGGGTCCCCCCCGCCCTCGAGGGCCCTGACGCTGTCCTCTCCCTGCTCACCGTCATGGTTTCTGGAGACAGAGGGGCTGGGTCATGCCAGGCATGGCCAGCCCTGAGCTCCTTCATCCGTCTCAGCTAGGAGGGGGGCTAGGTGGTCCCCGAGTTTCACTACAACTTTGTCACTTTCCACAGAGAGGCCAACAACGCCACCAGCAGCAAGATTCCCAAGCTGTGGCAATCCAGCCCCCCATGCCTCCTCTACTTGGTTTCAAAAAGTCAAGAGAAATAACATCAGTCACTTTTTTTTTTTCTTTGTCAACTCATGGATGACCCACAGGCCGCCCAATACACAAGAACCTTCATCGGGTATTTTTTAGGAGTCACCAGCATTACAGAGTCCCCCCCAGAGGTCCAGAAGCATGGGGATCCTTGATTTACAAAACTCACTGTCCCTTCTACAAAGCGACCTAGGAGGCCTGCAATCCTGGAGCTGAAATCTCTGGGGTCAGACACTTTTGAAATTCAGAAATTTAGATTTTAGAAAGGTAATTTGCATATTTGATACAGTAGGTCGCCCTTGGGCCCCACTGTGTCTAATCAAAGACATGAATATTTTTGCTCCAAAAGGGAGGGATGTTCCATTCAGTTCTGGGGGTGGGGTGAGGGAGGGGGTAGAAGTCTTTCTAACCAAGCAGCATGTGAGGGAGAAACACGCTCGACACAACCTCCCCTCTCAACGGGAGCCCACTTCACCTCACATATACAGCTGGCGCCAAGCAGGATCCCACTCTGGCTATTTGCACGAAATCCTTGGTAAGGATCTGCAATGACCTGGCGCTATTAGCTCTCACAGGACAACATTTTTAGCAGCAGAAAACAGAGAAAGCTGTCTCCAGAGAGCGCGCCCCACCCGCCCGGCCTGATTACCTGGCACCAGGCTGTCACATTCCACCAACACTTCGCTGGCCTGGGTTTTCAGGGGCGGCACGATGATAGTCCGGGGGTTCCCGGTGCAGGGCTTCTCCAGGCTGGCCTTGGTGTCGAAGGTGCTGGCGCTGTGCCCGGCGCGGTGCTGCACGGAGTAGGGGCTGGTGTTGCTGGAGGAGTCGGAGTAGGGAGAGTCGTGGACCGTGACACAGCTGATGACGTTTTTTCTCTGCTTGGAGACAGTGCTGGAAACCAAAGGGGGCGGTCAGAACCTTGACAGCAGAGCAGGGGTCCAGAACTAGTGGAGGGAAAAGCCCCTCTGTGCCCTGGGGCGGGGAAGGGAGGGGGAGAGGGAGACCCCAGTGCAGGAATGTCACCTGTCCACTTGGAGGCAGGGGACGTGGAAACAAGGGAGAAAGGGGCGGCAGCTGGGCCCACAGGCCGATTCTGGAAATCGGGGCGCGAGAAGCTTCCCGCAGGACCCGCAGAACTCAGCACCCCGGGGCAGATACATGAGGTCTGGCCACGCCCTCTGGGCCACAGAAGGGGGCCAGCTGTGCAGACAGAGGACCCTGCAAGGCACAGCAAGCTCAGGCAGGAGGGGGTGGGCATTCAAGAGAAATCAGGGTACAGGGAGAAGGACACAAGAAAAGTGAGGTTCGGAGGAGGTGACGCCCCACGACATGGTTCAGACAAGCTAAGAGAAATCAGAGCTGGTTTGACACTTGCTGTCTCTGCTCCGAGGGGGTCAGGGGCTGACTGTTGGTGCAGCCCACTGACCCGAGGGCCCCCTTCTCAGGGGACACAGCCCTCCTGCAGCTTTCACTGTCCGGCCAAGGATCAGGGAGGGGACCGCAATGCCCCTCGTTCAGAGGGTCTCCCTCCGGGATGATGCCCAGGAGGGAGTCGCTCTACCAGGTCTTCATCCTGTGGCTGAAATGTACCAGGATGTCAGGGCGGGCTCCCACCAGCACATTTTTGCCTGAGTTATTTATGGCTGTGTGGTTACTTTGGGAACTAATTCTGTCCGTCACCAAGCTCAGGGAGGTGGGTGATGGATATGGAATTTGTTGCTTATTGTGATGGTTTTAAAAATGGATTTTCATCTATTTTTGTATATTGATCATCTATTTTTAAGAAATATCGACTGCCTAAGTAAGATGGTCAGATTCCAACTAATTTGCTAAGAGCTGGGATTTAGAGTAGGCCTGATGGAGCCACAACAGTCCCAAGGTCACATGCCAGTCACAGGACCTGGCCCTTTCCAAGATCGATCTCTCTGTCACCCTGAGGGCAAAAGAGAAGTGGCAAACTCCTGAGAGCACCCAGCTATTGGGCAGAGGGGAAGTGTAAGGACAGCTAGTTGTAAAATCCCCCACAGGCTGGAGGGGCTGTAAGCAAGTCGCACCTGCCCCCCACCTCCAGGCCTCCGTGGCCATCCCTCTGTTCTCTGCTTCAGAGAAGGTGCCACCATGTCCGTGGGTACAAACAGAGGACCTGCAGTCAGATGGCCTGCTTCAGCTCCTGCAGGTGGTATGGCTTTGGGCTGCCGCTATTAACCCCTCGGAGATTCAGTTTCCTGATCAGTGCAGTGTGGGTGACGTAGTGCCCAAGTCATAGGGTTGTTTGGAGAGTGAAGAAAGAAAATATACTGCACATGCTTTGAGTAGCTCCTGACTCACAGCAGGTATTCTCCAGAAGCCAGCTGCGGTCGTGATTATCGTATGTTACTTCAATAACAGGTTTGTAACAAATTTATCTAGGCAAAGTGAATTCTGTCGAGGTAAGGACTTGCTGGAAAAGCGTCTCGTCTTATGAAGAAACCAGAAGGATGATAAGAAAGAAAATTAAAACTCATCAGTTAAATATCTGGAGATCCCTGCTAGGTGCTGCAGGGAATTCCTGTCTGAAGAACTAAAACGCACGTCCCTGCCCTGGGGGAGATTAAAACCTCAGTGGCGGACTGTATAACAACATGACAAGTTAGACAGTAAAAGCTTTAAAAATAAGCAGTTAAAGAGAATAATGGATGTCACAGAGCCTTCTGCGAACTGTCAAATGAGCTGCACAGATGATAATTGTTAAGAGCTCAGAAGGGGAGGAATGAATCGATTACCTGTATTTATAGCTCTGCATGTTAACGTTGGTAAAATAGATAAATTTTCATTAATAAAGACTGACACTTCCGACTTACAACAGCTTAACCGCCACGTCCACACGCTGGAGTACCACCTGACCCGGTCTCCACTCCCAGGCGGGCAAAGCAACTCAAAGCTGGAACTCAAATACTCCTCGGCCAAAGGTCATGGCGGCGCTACTCACAACAGGCAAAAGGTGGCAGCAACCCAGGTGCCCGTCCCGGAGGAACGGACGCACTACGTACACCCACGCAATGGAATATGACTGGTGGGAAAACCAATGACGTTCTGGTACATGCCAGGTGCATGAACCTTGGGAGTCTGCTCAGTGAAATAAGCCGGACACGGAAGGGCAGATGGTGTATGATTCCACTTCCATGAGGCACCTGGAATAGGCACATTCTCAGAGAAAGTGGATCAGAGGCTATCAGGATGGGGGAGAGTGGGGAGCAGGGACTTACTGCTTCCTGGGGATGGTTTCAGGGAAGAGATGGAAGTTTTGGAACTAACATAGTGGCGATGGTCTTCAGCCATCCATGGGATGTTACTGAACTATACACTCCAAGATGGTTAAGATGGCAAATGTTTTACATGTATGCATAGAACTGTCCTGTCTGCATGACCCAAGCACGGAGCTGTACACTTTGAATGGGTGACTTGTACGGTAAGCAACGCCTGTCAGCTCTAAAAAATCTTGTTCAGAAACAAAGCAAGTAGGGTGAGCGGGGGTGGGAAGACACTGAGATCTGGCACTAGAACTAGAGAGTGGACCCCAGGAAAAGGTTTCCAGCCTAGAAAGTCCAAGGAGGGATCTAAGAGCAAGCGGGCCGAGGGAGCAGGAGGCAGAGCTGCCTACGGACCCGGAAACCTGCAGCTGCTTTCTGTGTGGGTGGGGTTGGGTAACGTGGAGTCAGTTGCGTAGCAAGAGGTTACTAAAGGGAACCCCGCCCCGCTGCACACCACTGCAAAGTACTTCCAGCGGCAGGGGAGGAGCTGGGAGGCGGTGACCTTGAGCTCCCAGTTCTGGGGGCAGGCGGCACGCCTCAGCTTGTAGGTCACCCCAGGTGGGGACTAACACGAACATGCAGCAGCATACCTGGCCATCGCACAGGACGCAGACGTGGTCCGTGGCAAGTGCAGGTGTGAGTGCTGGGCCCACACCAAAGGGGGCTGAGCTCGTGTTCTAGCAGTGAGTCTGCTGTCTACTTACTGGTGTGATCCTGGGGGCGCCCTCCAGGTCCCACCTACTATAGAACCCACCAGGGGTGAAGGAGAATTTCCCTATGGCGTTAAAGCATCCACTGCAAGGCTCTCAGAGACTGTTAAGGGCATTGAAAATAGGATTTGGCGACTCCTAATTTGGAGGAGGTAAATCCCTTTAGTAAGTGGACCTGACGTGTGGACTCAGACTGGGCTACTTTCTGAACCCACATCTTCTTTAGTTTTGTGTAGTTTAGAAAATGAGTAAATTACAAATACACAGCACAGGTTTTGGTAATGCTGCAATAGAACGCTAATTGGGTCTACTAGGAATTCTTCATCTCAGTAGGAGTCAGAATTTTCTGATGACTGGTACTACTGAACATCCAGCAGACCACTTCATGAATCAGCAAGCCTCTGCCACTGAGGATGGATTTCTGGAAAGTTCTAACAGCTGCAACTTGACCTGGAGTACCCATGAGAATTTAGGGCCATCTCCTGCATGGAAACTCACCAGGCAGAGAGCTGACCCGCCAGAAGCTGCAGAATTCCAAGAGAGACCTAGAACCTCCACATGTCCTCACGGGTGCTAGGCTTTTTAGAGCTCTGAGGTCCCTGCGCCTACTGAGCACACCACAGTCTAGTGCTGACTTCCTGCCTTTCTGGGTTTACATGTGACAAGCGTGGAAAAGGTGAATTAATTTGATAGCTGTCTTTAATCTATTGTTAGGAATCTCTGTGCTCCATCTGAATATACTCTGCAGGTTAGAGAAGAAATGCGAAGATGTTGAGAGTCATTTTTAAAAATGATGCATTTGTGATTACTACGATAGATGCTTCTGGCTCTTACGTAATAACACCACTGGGACATGTTCCACTCTAGTGTCTAATTATTATTGATAGCTTATCAATCCCATCATGAGGCAGTTGATGGAAGTGAGATGGTGCTACAAGCAGGAGGAGGAATGTTTGCTTAAACGGCCTCGACTATCACTCTGAATAAAGGATAAAGCCACCAGAGTTCACGACTGGCTTGTGTTGTCATGGCAATAGATGATTTTCATCTTTTTAAAATGATGAAAAGAAATAAGGAGCTAAGAAGTAAACACATCAGCCTCGGGGGAGAAAACATGGCTGGATAATCAGATACAACCCTGTGACCCCTTCCTGTGGGGACGCAGCAGAAGACAGAAAATGTGTTTCTGATTTCTATTTGCCAATCTCAGCCCATTCCAGCCTTCAGGACCAAGGTCAAAACTCATCTCCGCCAAGAAGCTTTCCGTGACTTATCTTGCTCCTGATTCCATCGTGAATGCTGTATGTGAAAAACACTGCTCCTCTGTACCGTGACGTGGGTTACTAAATCCAGGCTCCCCGATCGAATGCACGGCCACCCTTGTTCCAAGCAGACATGGAGAGCGCAGGCCACGCGCCTGCTCAAGCTCACTAGTCAGTTGGGGTACAGGCAGGTCTGAACCCGGAGCCAGATTTTTTTTTTGGGGGGGGGATGACTAAGCATGGCTTTAAGTTTATTAATTTAAAAAATTTTTATTTTATTGCAATAATACTGAACATGAGTGTTTTTTAAAGCACATACATTGCAGTGTAGTGACCAGGTGTACGATGCGGTACAGTGGCTCTCTAGACTGTTCCTCTCTTGCTTCACTGAGAAGAATGCCCATGGATTCAGTGACTCCCCAACTGCCCAACCCACACTTCATGGGGCTCTTGATACAGTTCTTGGATTCTATGAATTTGACTGTTTTGGGTACCTCATATAAGAGGTTTCTGCAGATCAGACTTCCCTTCTCTTAGGTATCCGTCGTGTGCACAGGCCATGCTTTCAGCCCATCACCTGATGGACATGTAGGTTACTCTGGACCGTGCCGAACATGGGTGCACAGAGC